AGCAGGTCCATAAAATTGGAGAAAAGTGGGACACTAAACCCCATTTCATCTCATTTAATTCATAGAATTTGATCAGCCCAAGCTTCTTTTGTCACCGATATATTTATGCACTAGAGCTAAGTCCATAAAATTAATGGAATTTGATCACTCAACCTAATTTTTTTTTAGTCACCAAAATATTTATGGAATTTAATCAACCTTAGATTCTTTTTTTTGTCACCGATATATTTATGGACTAGAGTGAATTCCATAAAATTTATAGAATTTTATCACTGAGCCTAAACTTTTTTGTCACCAGTATATTTATGGACTAGAGCTAAATCCATAAAATTAATGGAATTTGATCACTCAGCCGAAACTCTTTTTTTGTCACCAATATATTTATAGACTATAGCTAAGTCCATAAAATTAATGGAATTTGATCACTCAGCCTAAACTTTTTTGTCACCAATATATTTATGGACTTGAGCTTAGTCCATATAATTGCAGACAAGTATAGGACGTTAAACCCCATTTCATTTACTCCATAAGCATGTAGGATAATTACCCCCTGGTGTATTCAAGGTGGTAACATTAACACCAATGATAACCAACAGGGTGTAAACAGATTGTGGTAATATATGTTAAACAAGTTAAATTTATCACCCATTGTGTACAAATTCTACACCAATTTATTAACGGTTAATCTTAAGTCGAGACGGGGTTTTACTGATATAAGAAACATAATGAATCTATTTAATAGAATAATATATGTTAAGATGAACAATTAATTACTTTTTAAATAAAATCATTCATGATATGAACAATTGCTTTGTTTTTATATAAAAAAGGTTCCCCAAATGTTAATAATACACTTTTTGATCCGTTTATTTCAATAAAAAATCTTTCTTACAATGCCTGTGTAGTTTGTCCTGTCCGCAGGTTTGTCTTTCCAGTTTTGTTTTGCGTGAAGTGCGGTTCTCTTGTACCATATTTAGTACTTCGGAGGGCCTGATAAGGAGAGCTGTCTAGTCGTTCGGATGGGGCGAAAAATCGAGGCCCCATGTATACATTGGCGGGCACGTAATGATCCCTTATCGATATAAAGGTAGACCATAGTGTCGCTGCCCGGGCAAAATTTCCCTCATAGCACACTGTATGGCGTATGCCTGTCTTCATTAGCCCAGTATAGGAGTAGTAGGATGTTAAACCCCATTTCATTTAATTTCTATTATGTACTTATAATTGGTGTATAGGATATAAATATAAATTGATAGTTATAATACAAAAGTCCATCAAAATTTGATAGTTATGTGAAGACTTTAAATGAATAATTTGTTAAGAAATGATGTCGATAAAATTAATCAAATATAAGAGGACTTTTCCTTAATAGTTTATGTAATTCAAGCTTTACTATCAATAAATGTCCCACAAACAATATATTAAGGCAGGTCTATTATAGTAAGCGCATAAGGATGACAGCACGACACACAAAACCAACCCGATAAGACAAACCCGCGGACAAAATTACACAGACATTGTAAGCAATAAACAGCGAATTTTATTAATATCAAATCAAGCGAATGGAAGCGGGGACCAGTCGGAAGAAATTGGGTAAATTAAAAAAGAAATAGGAAATATTTTTGACTTAATTAGAAATGAATAGTTAAACGGAAATAAAACGAAACAAAAAGAGTCATAAAAATTAATTTATCTTTAAATGGCTTACTTATTTCAAACGTTTTCGTTGACTTTAATTTTCAGGAAATCTGGAAAACAAAATGTTGATACTATTTTATTTCATAACTTCTTAATAGAGGTAATGTTATTTTAACTAAAAAAAATCCACATTCGTGAATTTCATGCGATCCAATCCATTATAATTTCTGTATCTATGCACAGCAGGACGTTAAACCCCATTTCATTTCATTTCATTTCATTTCATTCGTATCTACGCAAACGTTCTAAATATTTGTGACGGGTTCCGCAATGGATGGACGCGACACACACCACTATAAATAGTTTTTTTTTCTGATTGAGGAGTTAAAGCCCCGTAAGTTTAGAATTCAGGGGAAATCTGTTGCAGAGAGAGAGAGCGAGATGGGGAGAGAGAGAGAAGAGAGAGATGGGGTTTAACGTCCACTCGACACAAACTAGGTCATTTCGGAACTAACATAATGGTTTCATACCGGAGGAATCGGAAAAAACCATGAGGTTGGACAGGCTACCCTACTCCTTGCCACGTACAACCGGGGAATCGAAACCACGCCAGTTGACTCAATGACAGACCTTATGATACTGCGCGCACGTGCTAACCATTCGGCCACTCACCCCTCTATTATGTGTTAGAATCGACAAACTTATCATCCAAAATGATTGATTTATTTCTAATATGTTATAAAATAATGCTGGCCTGCGTAGGGGTCTTTTAGCAGAGGGGGTAAACCGTAGGACCCGGAGATAACCCTGAGGTTAAGAGGACAAGTCCTACTCCTTGTCATGCACAAGTATAGGATCGACACCCCTCAATAATAAGTGCAGGAAGACTGCACCACACACAAACAATTACACAAGACAAATTAAGGGATAAGACCACAATACGCAGAAATCACAAACAAACCTATACTAGAGATTTAGTGAATAGATCCGGGTCGTAAACGTTCGCTGTGCTGTATAGTCCCAGGCCTGTAGTGATATAGACTTCACTCAAAAATAAAACTAACAATAAGGAGAAATATATCCCAAACGTTGTATATTAATAGTACGAGTCGTGATCTGCTCTGGACACATGATATATAAATGTAAGCACATTGTGCCCTTAATGTTCCCCGTCGAATTCCTGGTATGGGTCATTATTTTAAAGCAACGTCAAATGCGTCGGCATTGCATCTCACTCTTTAAGGAATCTTTAATCAAAGGGCTAGACTTATTTTCTTTGACAGCCCCGTGGTCATTATCCTAAGCCAGTCCGATGGTTATTTTGGACCTGCCACGACATCGTCGGTCCTTTAGCCCCGTCTTCATTAGCCCAGTCGGTGAAGAAAAGTCGGACTTTAAACCCGATTTCATTTAATTTAGCAAGATACCAGGATACCTTCTGTAAATCCACTTTTCTGAAGTCAACGAACTTTTCTTAACCATAAAAGGTCAATTGCATTAATCTCGATTAATGAGTCTGAAGTCAACAATATAGAATTTTATACGACTATATCGATTCCACCAAAACCGTCCTACGTAGTTCTGTATACGTACTTCATTCTCATGTCAGTTTTGGATTTCGATCGATTTAGATCCCACGCAAAAACTTAATAGCATCAACCATATTTTACAATAAAAATCGAAGATTCACTATATTTTGTTAAATACTTTTTATTTTACAATAATTATTGCAAATTATTTTCGTAACAAAATATACCAGTAACAAAAATGTATTTTATACATTTCTACATTTTACAAAAAAACTAATCTAAGTTTTCATATAACAAGCAAAGTCAATCAAAGATGATTTGATAAGCGACAATCGATTATAATTGAAATGCAGAATGGAAGAATAATATTTATCTTAAACGAGTAAGACACATTGCTGATTTCTTGTATTATGTCATGAAATATTTAGAAACGCCATGACATAAAATAATATTATGAAAGTAAAGTTAACGGTTACATAAATTAACAAAAAGTGTGTAAAACGTCATTCATATTCGCTAATTGAAATATGCCATCTTTGTGTGTTTTACGTCATTCAATACAAATAACACGAATGGGCTCGGAAGATGTCACAAATTGTTGCCATGAAGCAATTTATAGGTGCAGAGTAATATCAACAGGGGATATAAAGATGATTATGAACATAATGCCGGCAATGTGGCTACCTGTGATATTTTTATTAGCGACCATTAATTAACTATTACTCTCTGATTAGTATAATTAAGACGACTGATCAAGTAGAGTTAATTGATTTAATGATTGTTTTGATGACACTGTAAACACTTAACGTATCAGGTTATAAACTCTGACAAACCATTAACAAACCACTTTACGATTTTTTGAGTAATGTACCAAATTAAATGTCAACAATATACAGATCTTAGTTTAGTATTTACTGTAAAATTGAATTTAATTTGTAGAAAGTTCGTACGAAGTCCTTTTACTTGATAAACATTTTTTTGAGTAATGTTCCAAATTAAATGTCAATAATATAGAGATATAATCTAATATTTACTGTAAAATTGAATTTAATTTGTAGAAAGTTCGTACGAAGTCCTTTTACTTGATAAACATTTTTTTGAGTAATGTACCAAATTAAATGTCAATAATATACAGATCTTAGTCTAGTATTTACTGTAAAATGGAAATTAAATTTAGTTTGCACGAAGCCCCTTTCCTTGACTAAACATTAACAAACACTTTTTTTGAGTAATGTACCAAATTAATGTCAGTAATATATCGAATTTATTCTACTATTTACCGTAGAAAGGATATTAAATTTAATTTGTAGAGACATTTAACAAACATTTGATGAGTTATGTACCAAATGAATGTCCAAAATATATCGATTTTATTCTACTATTTACTGTAGAAGAGATATCAAATTTAATTTGTAGAAAATAATGAACAATATAATTTTTAAAAGAATAAAAAGTAAAATTTTCAAAATAATAACAAATGTTATAATTATGCTAATATTACAAATACTGTTATCAACAAAATAAAGAAAATGTAAATATACTGATAATAATTGCATAAAATAAATGATAATTGCATATTTTTTTGCATAATAATATTGCTAAGCCAAGTTCACTTGATTAACGCATAATAATATTGCTAAGCCAAGTTCACTTGATTAACGTTCTTAATACTGTTTGTTTTTATCAATGTCTTTATAAAATCTAATTATATTATAGATTTTATTCACACCTGTACACAAAATAACATTTTTTACACGGAGTTTCTAATGTTATTTTTAACCGGTTATATTTAAATTATATATTCACATTATTTCCAAATTATAGCACCAGAAACTGTTATCGGAGATGTGATTGCAGTGAAGGTAGCGAACTCCAAGCACTATATGGATGCGAAACGCTTCGAGGACCAAACTGTCCATAGTTCAAACCGTTAACACTAAGAGGAAAGGGATAGTTGGCGATCCCTGTTCGACCCCCTGCTAGATCTAACATGTTATTACTCGCTGAACTAATACCATTTAACATAGATCTTTGAAATTCGAATTGCGATTCAAAAAGTCCTGGTATGAGTGACACCGGTAGAGAATTAGGCATAGATTTCAAATCAACGACTTTTGGTGGCGGACTTGGAATTTTGTCAAAAATATCATTTGTCGATTTTTCTTCTCTGCGGACACGCTTGTTGGGTTCCTCTATCGGGGACGTATGGGTACGATTACTTGTGCCAATGATGCTCTCAATGCTAAATACTGCTGGACGTTTTAAGGAATTGGGGGTAGAGGCTGCAAGAGGGGCTGTTCCTTCCAAATCTTCGCTTACAACACGTGAATGTTCTGCCCTGGGACTCAAACTGTCGTCTGATGGCTTAATTTCATCGTCCTGAAATTCACTACTGTTGTTGGTTTCATTCGTCAGTGACAATTGATCGACACTTTTATAGTTGATATCTAGATCACAAGAGGATGATGTTTCAGCACCGTCCGATCTGTCACTCAAGTTGTCACCGAGTCTGCAACCTACTCCTTTAACCCGTCGCTTCCGACGACGATAGTTTCCGTTTTCAAACATCTCTTCACAGTTAGGATCCAAGGTCCAGTAATTTCCTTTACCGGGTTTCCCTTTCTCTCGTGGAACTTTCACAAAGCAGTCATTTAAACTCAAATTATGTCGGATCGAATTCTGCCATCCCTGTTTGTTGTCATGGTAATAAGGAAACCGTTCCATAATAAACTGATAGATTCCGTTTAAGGTGACTTTTCGGTCTGGCGCGGCTTTTACGGCCATTGCTATTAAGGCGATGTAGGAGTACGGGGGTTTCTGTGGCTGTTCTCGTCTTTGGAGATCTTCGATCATTTTCATAGCATAAGCTCTGTTGATGTCCAAAGTCGGATTATAATAAAGTCCATATGGATAAGCCGGGGCTCCAAAGGCTGGATATAGACTCTGCATGATTCTTGATTATCCGCAACCAAAAACAGTCTGTAATGAAATAAGTCTATAATTAAATTTATGTTAATCAATAACTAAAATTATGTTAATCAAAATCTAAAATTATGTTAATTAAAATCTAAAATTATGTTAATCATTAATTTAATCAAAATCAATCCCAATCTTTTATGATTAGTTAAAATTAAATATTCCAGCGCACCTGTTATAGAAAGAATCAGTGATATCTCCTGCAAGCCTATTAAAGGTTAAAGTACAGACTAGCCTCCTCTGTTAATTATTACTTTAAAAAACTACAATTCTCCGCTATAAAAAACAACTCCCCAAATGAAGATCAGTGAAGTGACTTGGAAGACGATCAGAATGTTTCTGGCATTTGTTGGCGATGAAACCGTCTCTTAAAGCCGTGTATTTACAGAACGCTCATCACCGCCATTGTTATATGTTATTGTTTTTGTATAGCCAGTTGACTTACTAGTAGCTAAATAAATGAATGAACATGCAAACACCGACAAAAGTTTCTTTTGTCCCAAAAGGTGTAGAAAATGTCAGTTACTCTTACGTTACCGAGCACTTAGCTCGCTTCAGCCAATCAGAAAGCTGGATGAGAAGTGAAATGTTTATAAAACATTACTAACAATTATTTCGCCCACCCAAGATGTGTAGGGGCATGTTTATTTTGAAATTTGGAAACGAGAAATTGACCACCCCTAATCTAAACACAGATTAGAAAATCTTTTTATAACTAGTCTCGCGTATCCTTCATTTAATTAGTCAGTCGTTGATCGGATCGATGAATATCATAGTCAAAATTGCCGAATATTTTGACAGCCAACGTTGAATAAATGTCTCAGAAAAACCAGAAGATTAAACACACATAAGATAACACGCCTTAGGAGTTCTATATCTACTTGTATACGCTGTTAGACGAGTTTCACATTTCCTCCATCAAGAAATCAGACACCACTCTAGTATATTATATTTTTGGGTGTATCTTGACTTTTGTCACACTAATTTATTGAGTTTAAAATTTCAAAACTTTTATAATCATCATATTGATGCTGATTATTCATCCCACAAATCGACCCGAAAGCCCAAACTATTAAACCTAAGTCTAAAGGTGAAACGACGTTATAAGAGACCCTTGTTTGATATGAAAACATCGAATAAATTAACCCCACTAGAAATACATTCACAAACATAACACAGCGGCCATGGATCGACGCTGCAAATTACGTTTTGAAAGAGGAGCCACAATGTGATTCATGTAATAATATTTATGATTTATTATCAAAATATTAAACATTTGAAAATCAAACATGATATTATATGGAGTAGAGATCGGTATATTACTATCATAACATTAAATTATGTTAAATGGATTAAATACGGCTAAATTACGGTAAAGACATATTATTATATGGATTAATTATCGTTATACTACTATTACAATATAATTACGATAAAAACATGAAATTTTGTTATATGGGTTTAATACATGCTTAATTACGATAAAAACATGAAATTGTATTATATGGGTTAAATACAGTTATATTACAGTAAAAACACAAAATTATGTTATAATATGGATTAAATACCCCTGCATTACGATATAAAAAAATGAAATTTCATTACATGGATTAAATACTGTTATGTTACTATCATAACATAAAATTAAATACCGCTATATAACGATAAAAACTTGGTATTATATGAAATTATGTTAGATTAAATACCGATACATTACTAATATAACATGGGACTTATGTTCATATACTGTGCACGAAAATATCAAAATAACTATTCGATCACTTAAAATTGTACAAAATATTATAACTCAATGTTTATTTCAATCAAACCATAGACGATTCTGTTCCCCGCGCATCATTTATTCTGTAATAAGCTTAATGATTTTCAGAAAATATAAGTAAATCTACGTGTCAGGCTATTGGCTTCAATGGTCTGTTGTTATTATCAAAATAGGCTTTAGAAAAAAAAAGACATTCAAAATAGCTGAACTTTAAATGAAATCTGATTTCTCCGCTTATGTTCTGTACTGAACAAACCTAACCGCCATAAGAACAGAAAATGTATGAAATATGGATCCCCGACGGGGCTAATGAAAACGGGCATACAACATACAGTGTGGTATAAGGGGAATTTCGTTCAGATAGCGGCACTACGGCCTACTTTTATTTCGAATTCCATGTGTCAAGGGTTTCTTTATGTGCATGCCAATATGTACACGGGACCTCGGTTTTTCGTACCATCGGAATGACTCATTAAAAAAGTACCAATAAGCTTTGACACTTAATATGAATATGTTTTTGTTCCATGGCTATTTCTAATTGAAAACAAATAATCCGAGAATAGCTGTAGAGACAGAAACTGTAAGTAATAATCAACACGGCCATACGTAACATTAACCCATTAGAGTGCTTTAACATATAGCCTAGAATATGATCATTAATGGAAGTATTTTATCTGTCAACTGAAAGCTGGGATCATTAGTTTAACTGCCAGAGAATGATAACTGATCAAGGATCTTCTACAAATTTAATTAGAGTAATAATAAGTTTGTCTCGAGTAATGTTTATTACTATCATTAATTAAATATTTTGAGCTAGTTATATTATAAATTAATGATTGCTAGTAATCAAGTGCTGATATGCCAAATTACTGATACATATTGATTACGGGTTACGATCTTTCTGACAGACTAAACTTATGCTGTCCGTTTACAGTTAGCTCCGCTTGAGAACAGACACTAAGCTAATTGACGGACATTTTAGATCCTAAATCGATGATTTTAGTCGAAATCACTAAGTACATATACTTCGCGAATTTGGTTAAGTATTTATTCTGCTGTTATTGAATAACATTTAAAAAGTTTATTTAGTCTTAGTGTAGTATGATAGATGTGAAACGGAGTAGAGCCGCATTACAAAACAGTATACGAATTTTTGGAAATGGTGGCCATTTAGGGCCGAGATCTATTATCGAAGCATGAAGTAGATGGACTTCTGTGTGCATAATGACTTGACGTATGTAAAGGGAACGACACTAGAAAAATACCAAATTTACAACAAAAATGTACATGACATTTCCGTTTAACAATTACCCCTCCCCCCACACACACACACACCAAATGCACTGACTTTTAACTACACAAAATGTATATTTTATACACAAAAACAAATCACAACTAATAATAGTTAACAAAATGGACTCCTCAAATTTCGAGTTAACTTCCTGTGTTTCTGCACCAGTTGGGCTAATGCAGATGGGCAAAACTTAATGCTTTAAGTTAAAGTCTCCTACTAATTTACAAGATCTTTTCTTTTTAATGGGACATTGCAGACTAATAAATATGCTATTTCTGCGGGATGATTAGACGAACTTCTTCCATTAAATCTTAAATGCATAATAAAAAGACCTCGTATATATATATATATTGTACACAATTAAGAATTTGCTCTAAATAATCATTTTGTAAAGATGAAAAACTAACCTTGTGCATTGATTATTTGTCTTAATCTTGTCATACACTACTTTAGCTTTTAGAATAATGAAATGAAATGGTGTTTTACGCCCTACTGTTCTTCTCCGACTGGGCTAATAGGGGAAATTTTGCCCCGACAGCGGCGCTACGGCCTACTCTTATATAGAATTCCAAGTGTCAAGGGTTTCTTTACGAGCATGCCAATATGTCCATGGGCCACCAGTTTTTCGTCCCATCCGGATGACTATCCGTTGGTGCATACCAATAGGATACTAAGCCCACATTTCATATCATAGAACACCTGACAGTTGGATTACCAGTAAGTAAGCGCCCGTCTTCATTAATCATTATAGTATCGCAATTATTCTCAAATAATTCATAAATTGTGGATCGTACCTGTACAATGTATTAACCTATAAAATTATCAAATATAATACTTAGTACATAATTCAAATAATCCTATTGCATAATCTTTAAGTAGTATTTAGCGATCGAGCAACACATTACACAGAAGACGATTTTTATAAGATACAATCATTGGTTTTATTCAAATAGCACTACGTTTCGACAAATATCCTCTTACCATTATCAAGCGTCTTTCTCATTTCAATCGCTTTTTTTAAAAAAAAAATCTTATTGCAGTTTATGTATATATTAATAAATGTACACATAATACGTACACGTATTGTAGTTTATGTATATTAATAAAGTATTAATTGTAATATATACATAAACTACCGCACGTGTATGTGTATTACAATTTTAATGTATACATAATTGTAATACAGTACGTGTATGTGCATTACAATTTTAATATTTACATAAACTACAATACGTGTATGTGCATTACAGTTTTAATATATACATAAATTACAATACGTGTATGTGTATTACAATTTTAATATTTGTATAAGCTATAATACGTGTATGTGCATTACAATTTTAATATATGCATAAACTACAATACGTTTAGATATTGTAGTTTTATGTCTAATATAGCAATATAAGTAAAATACATACACGTAGTTTATGTATATATTAAAATTGTAATATACATGAGCTTTCTGTACTGTAGTTTATGTATATATTAAAAATTAATACACATACACGTATTGTAGTTTATGCAAATATTAAAATTAATACACATACACGTACTGTAGTTTATGTATAAAATGTGAGTAATATAAGAATTATACCTACACGTGTTGTAGTTGATGTATAATACAATAAAATAAGTAATATACATACACGTATTATAGTTTATGTATTATATAGAAATATAAGTAAAATACATACATGTATTGTCTATCAGCTCACCATACAACCATTCTACTAGCATTCAAAGCCAGAAATACGGACAAAAAGATGAGAATGTGTGGTCCCCCAATGTATATTTATTTCTTTGATTTGGGAGGGCAGGCACGATGAAATGCTGCGAGTTGAGAAGACCTTTATCTATCAGTGAGCTTTTGTAAACAGAGAGAGTGTATATTCTGAAGTCCGATATCGCACAATTCA